GCTCAGTGCTTTCAAGCAAAATGTTCAAACAAAAATTCTTAGAGTAAAACGTAGAGACTGTAAGATGTCTGTGATACATTTTTCATTTTAATGTGAATATCTTGGGTGTTTAATCCAATGCAAGTTGGGCAAATGTATGAAATGGTTTGTTGAGCAAGTTAATAAGCCAAATAGTGCTTCAATAATTTGTTTTAAGAAATCAATTTCTGATTAGATGGGGTGGTGAATCATCTCCCTGTTTAAAAATCATGGTACTGTAGGTCTTCAGTTTATATTTATTTATCAAATAGAGAGCAATGGGGAAGGGCAAAAGTCCAGCCTTTAAATGGGAGAGTTACAACAGTGACTGAAAGATGTGTTTGGTTTCCTTTGGTGTCAAGATCATAGAATCCATTGACAGGGGATATGGAATTAGCCTTTTTGAACATCAGTTATACAGTATATCCGATCCAGACGAGTCCGGGACCTGGAAGCGCCTGGTCCCATCAAGCTTTTAAGTTCCTGTTCCTGCCGGTTCTGACCCAGTTTGTCTTGGATTAGGATTTTCGCCTTCTCTCGGATACCCCCTTGGACTCACTTCTGGATTGTTTGCCTCGGCCACACCTCCCCCAAACACCAGCGCACCAAGGACACCCCACCCGTTTTCATTCCCGACTCCCGCATGCTTTGTCCCCGTCTTTTCCTCACTCATCCCCGGATTGTGTCGTCTGCATAGGGTCCGGAAAGAACGCTTCCGTTACAGAAGAGAGACCGACTTGCCCAAAAACCACCCCACCCCTCCCCCATTACCTCCAGGGCCTTCCGTTTCTTCGCCAGCAGCTTCTCGATGTTGGACGCCACCTTCTCCACGAGCTCCTTGGGGGAGTTCTTCCTGATGTCAAACTGGTTTCTCTTCTCGCTGTAGATCTGCAGGAGAATTAAAAAAAAAACACAGGAGAGTGAAATTCAGCTGAAGTTTAAACCTCTGTGGAATGGCGGCACGGAGCTAGGGGAAGGAATCGGCAGGCTGGCATTTAACCAGGCACCCTCCCGGGTGCCTCCGAGCAAATGCCGGGCACTTCCACTGCACGTGCACAACAGAACCCCCCGTGTAACAACACAGCCCCCCGCCTCGAATTCACGAAAGCTGCTGCACAAATCTCGCCAGCACAGTCAAATTCTCAGCCACAGCCACACAAGCCGGCTGCAACTTTCTCCTGCAAAAAGTGCAATACATCATTATATTTCAAACAAACGCCTCTATTACTCAGAGCCACCGCTGTGCTCGCTACGCGCTGCCTGAAAGCATACCGATAAAAGCATTTCGAATAAACCGGCTCTGGATGGGCCATGTTTTTACTGCGCGCCGTCTTCTGCCTTCTCTGCATGCTCTGTTTCCCCGGCAGTCAGAGGTGAGGCGGGCGCTGGGAAGAGGCAAAAATAAAATGCGAAAGAAATGAAACCGGGCGAGAGGCCGCCGGCAGTCAGCCTCGTTTTCCGCGCTGCCTGACAGTCCCCGTGCGCCGAGGCCGCCGCGTTAAGAACAGTGTTTTCTTTTTTTTTTTTACTTTTTAATAACTCTGTTGAATGCCTTTTCCTTAAACGACTAAATGCATGCTGCCTGTGCTTTAATCTTCGCCCAGCTGACAGCTCCTCTTGTTTCCTCCCCGAGATGGAGCCACGCAGAGCCCTCGCTCGTAATTGTTTTTAAATAGGCGTGAAACAGTCTTGCATTCTGAAATTCTGCGTCTCGTCTCCAGCGGGAGATTTCGCTACCTTTTGCCCGTCTCTCTCCAGGCTAGAGCCTGTATGGACTCCCAGTCTGCTACATTGTCACAGCTGCCTGTCCATCTCAAGCCTGTGCCCTTTGACCTCCGTGTTACCCCTCGTACAGATGGGCACACGGCACGTACGTCTCTGTGCCACCACTGCTGACCGCAGCAGGGTCAGTGACTCTCCGCAGGCCTGGATTTACTTCCTAAAGCCTCCAACACGTGGTTTCCCGATTCCTCACATTTCACAGGACGCCTTGCAAAAAGAACTGCAAAAAAAATCAATCATCTCGGAGCGAGCGGGCAATCGGTCCCCCGATTCGTCTACAGGACTGCTCGCAGGATGACCAATTAGGGAGCGCTGATGGCTTCAATTTGAAATCGGCTAGAATGACACATAATCAAGAGTTCGAAACAGCTAGGAAAGAGAATCAAATCGGCCTTCAAGCTTATGGAACTTGCTTCTGCCACCACCACCACGCAGTTTGCCTGTGTAACTCCATAAATGGTAACAAGTGAGATAAAGACTTGCAAAATCCATTGCTCACTTTTTTACGGTCTATAATGCACTTAATAAACCCAGCAGGAACTGATCCCTAATGATCAATTCCGTGTTTATTAACAAAAGACAAATTGTAAAATTGCCATCACAGGTGCTCAGCTGATGTATACATGAGACTTCATAGCTTGTTATGCATTGGTGATCTGCAGCTCTCCAAACTGAAGTGTCACGCCATAAACAGCTCCAGTCTCTCGCCTCTGCCGCTGACAGAATACTCCCAGTTGTGCACTCTGGCAGCAGACGGGGGGAGATGCAGATTGCATGGCTCCCAGCCGAGCTTGGCGAGGGTGAGAGAGAGAGAGAAAGGGGATATTCAGCATCCGATTCCGTTTAACTCCCCAGGGGAGCTCCAGCTCTCTCGGCCTGGGCCTGGCTCCCAGCAGTGCCTTATGCGAGATTATTCCGGGGATGTGGACAGAGAAAAACCGCTCATCAGAAGTCGGCTCCGGGCATGACACGGGGCAGCGCCTTTGCAACTTCACGGCAAGCTTGCGTCCGAGTGCCCGGATCAGGACCGTGCAGGGCAGGGAAACGACAGGGCGGGTGTCTTTGCACCAGAAACCTCCCGTCTTTTAGGAGGCGAGGCAGCAGTTACGTCAGAATCCAGACGAGACGCAGCAAAAACGAGGAGCCGGGGTGGGGGGGGGTCTCCGATTCGGCACGGTGCAGGGAGACGGTACTGCATTTGGAAAAGAAACCTGCTTTTGCATCTTGTCCCCCCTCGGGAGAGTACAGCCTGTGCATCCAGGGGTGTATTTTAAGATATCTGTGGGCGATCAGATCCAACGAAACCTGTCTCTATAAGCCCATTTGTTCAGCTCCCCCATTACAGCACACTTCAATTACCCACACACACAACTCATTAGCCGCCAGTAGAGTATTCATCAGGACCTGGACGAGAACAATGGGTTTCCATCCCCGGATGATGATCAGGATAATATGTTACATACTTAATCAACCAATTAAAGGACATTTTTCCTCGAAGTGGTAATGACCTTTATCAGAGTCTTATCGCATTATGGAACATGACCTTGCTGTCACGTCCCCGTTAACAGATCACTCTCCCCCTTTTCTGTGCGTGTGTGTGATGTGACCTTATACATCACTTTGGATCCATATTCATTCACTCGTGAGTATAAGAGGCAAGAACATCCACGACACCACACCAACCCCCCCCCCCACGTCATCCAAATCCTTCAGAGGGGCGAAGCGCCCCAGCCCGCCCCGCGCTTGTTTACCGAGCCGGAGAGGCGCCGCGCCGGGCGCTCCTAGCATATGCCAAAACAGAACTGAGTCCAAGGCGAGGCCTGTGCTGCGTGGGCCCGGGTGGTGTGTGACGGCGCTTCAGAAGCAGAAGCAGATGATGGAGCGGCGCAGGCGGCGCCGTTAATGTGCTGGCGCTGGCGCCGGGCGCTGCCAAGCAGCCTGCGGAGCGAGCCCGGGCGCCAGAACCCGGGGGCCGGGCGGCACAGACCTGCACGCAGAGGGAGGGGAGGCCGAGGGGCACGGCCTCTCGGTGCCCAGAAATTCTGAAAGTCGAGCTGTGAAAACCCCCAAACAGAGACAGACGGGCAAGCACAGCCCCAGCGCCGAGGCCCGGGGAACAAGCCGGCCACTTTCACCGTCTTGCTTGATGGAGAAAAAGGCTGAGCTGTGGGGGAAATGTGAGCAAGGCAAGGGGGTGTAAACAAGCTGTTCGCGTCTTCATATACCGCAGAGGGCACTGGCAGGGAGACACCCTGGGGCTGGGGAAGCTGACCCACGAATTGGGAGCCCCCCCGTCACTTCCAGAGGGGAGAGGGGAGCGACAGGAGGTGGAACCCCTCGATCTCGACCCCGGTAACCCCAGGGCGCCGCCCACTCTGGAGGCTCGGCACCGCGAGCACCAGAATCCCTCTGGACTCTAATTATTGAAGCTCAACCTGCACTTCAGCTCTCAGCTTGATTGGGCTCACCCCCCCACCCCATGGAGATAGTGAAGGGCAGTAACACTGATCGCACACCAGCCGGACCCTCTCCCCGGTCTCATCGGTGGGAGAAGATGGTTAATGAGCCAACCCAGGACAGGCACAGGACAGGGTCCGTGCAGGAGGCACGCGTGTCCCAGTGGACCGGGTTACTGATCTGGACCACGACTTGCTGTGCCCACGGTCCCTCTCCTCTGCCCTTGTCCCTGTGTGGTTTCAAAAGGACAGAGATCCTTGCACCACCAAAAACAGCCCTGGGTTATAAGTCCTGGGCTATGAGCTCCCACTTGCTGGTGTCCATGTGGTTCACATTGACCTGGAGGGCCTCTCTGAAGGGCATTTAACTGCCCTCCCCCTGAGTGCATGACAAAGCTGGGAGAAATCTGCCGTCTGCACAGCATGGCCACCTTAATGAAGATGATGTCCAACGATCCTCCCCTCCGTTATCGCTTTCGGCTCTCTTTTCGGCTGCGAAAAGCCCGAGCTTCCCACCTGTGAATATTCCCGACACCTGAACGAGGCCGCGCTTCCCTGTTCAGTCTGAAGCGCGAATTAAGATTCGCTGCAATCTGTCGGGTGTTTATTTCCTTAAGTACAATTGGAAGTGGTGAGTGAAGCTTCGTTTTCCCACTCAGCGACATGACAGCTACAATGCCACTGAACTCAGGATGATCACTCAGATGCCTTCACTCAGTGACTCGTCTGATTCCTTGTTACTTGACAAGTCTATTTTGTCTTGCTAACTGCAGAAGGTCTATTCCTGCAGCCTAACTGTAATTTGGACCACCTAAGAACAGAAAGTTTGCGAACGAGGCGAACACGTGACAGTTCTAGCTCGTTCGGTTTCTGGTACGTGACTGAGCTGAGGATCTCTTGCAGGAAACCCGGAGTTTCTGACTGCAACTCTGCAGTGGAGCCAAAATAATGCAAGCATCTCAATCCTTTAAAACGAGCGAACCCTAGGCTTCCCAGGCGTTCCAACTTGTAAAAAGATGCTTCTTTCAAGGCACAGGCTGAGCTTACAATGCAGAGTCATTTAGTGGACTCCTTCAGAATCAGCAGATAAACAAAATCCGAGCACAGGTGGAAACAAAGCAGAAGGACATTCAAAACCGAGAACAGGAGACGCTTCTTTACACCAAGGTTGTGGGAGGGTGGAACAACCGACGTGGTTGAAGCCGATACCCTGGCTCCTTTCTAAAAATGCTGGCTAAAATCAGTGAACTACTAACTACTGAACGGGCTAGATGGATCGAATAGTTACAGTATAGTAGCTACATCTTCAGTAAAAGCTCACACAACTTGTTAAATTAACTTCCAGCCATTGTTTTTCACAAAGGTATTTAAAGATACTCAGGCATCCTCAGCTTTATGCTCAAAAGCGTCCCCTTGTGGGTTTGTCAGGCACATTCATCGAAGAGCGCTGGATCCTTCCTAACTCGGCTCCGGGCACTCCGGGCGCTGCAGAGCCTGGGGTGGGAATGAGGCAGATCCCTGCCATTTGTATGAGCGTTAAGACAACAAGCTGAACAGAGTGACAATGACGGAGTCAAAATGTCAAACAGAAACAACTGCAGACAATTAAGGACAAAAAAAAACAATTTAATTATGATTTTCAACCACTCT